TGGCAGGGGGCTGTAGCCAAAATGAGTTTGTCTTTAAGCTCTTCATCCATTCATCCAAATTAGGCCTTAACATGCTTGAATTGCATCATTTCCTATCCAAAGCCATCATTGTTACCTAAAGCTGAAAGATAAACACAAAAAGGATTAAAAGCACAAGTTTAACTCAAAAACATAACCAAATCATAAGCTAGAAGGGTACAAAATGATATACAATTATGAACCGATCAATACCCTTCCTTAGAAGAGCAGCCCCATGAAGCACACTTCTCCAAGTAGAAGAACAATCCTGTTTAAAAATCACAGAATCATCAAGAATAGAATGGCCTTTAAGGTATTTAGCTTCATAGATCTTAGCCCACAAGCCCTCATCCTTAATATGCAACCTCCAACCAATCTTGGCTAACAAAGCTTGATTCATAGCACCAGTTTTTTTAAAACCCAAGCCCCCTTTACTCTTAGGCCTACAAATAAGATCCCACTGACAAAGATGGACCCTGCTCATTTTCTCACTCCCACCCCAAAAAAAATTTCGATTTAATTTATCAAGTGCATCACACACACTAGTAGGCAGTTTAGTTGTTTGCATTGCATAAACAGGTACAGCCGAAGTAACAGATTGAACAAGGGTAGCTCTACCAGCTAAAGAAAGAAATTTACCCTTCCAAGCAGCAAGTCTTTTATGCACTTTGTCAATTAAGCTGCTATAAGTCCTTTTATCAACTCGAGAATGCAGTAAAGGCATGCCCAGGTACCTTCCAAGATCTTCAGTTAGAGGAGAGCCACAAATACAACTGATTTCCTTAGCTATCTCCTTACAGGTGTTAGGAGAACAAAAGATAGCAGATTTATCAAAATTTACTGTTTGACCAGAGGCTTGACAAAAAACCTCCAAGCAATTCTTCAAAACTCTAGCTTGATTAGAGGGAGCTTCAACAAACAAACTAGATCATCAGCAAAAAAGAGGTGAGAGACAGCTGGGCCAGCTTGAGAGGACTTATTAGGTCTCCATTTACCCATTCGAACATCCTCAAAAATAAGATGGGACAACTTTTCAATACACAACACAAACAGGTCCCCTTGTTTTAAATAACAACGTTTTTTAAACCATATAAAACTAACGCATATAAATACCTTCTTATCCCCACGCCGCCGTTCTTTTCGCACTTTCGCACTTTCGCCCTACTCCTCCGAACTCAGCGCTCTCTCACGCTCTCTCTCGTTCAGGCTCTCTGTCTCTCTCGTTCATTTTCTCCATAGAAATCGAACTGAGCTCTCTCTCCGCTGGGTTTCTCTCTCTCATATCAGTTAACGGTAAGCATCCTCTTCCTTTGAATTTAGGGTTTATTCTTCTAAATTAAATTTAGGGTTTTTTCTGTTAAATTAGGCTTGTCGAATTGGGGGTTGAGGTTGCTGATTCTTTCAGTTAAATTAGGCTCTGTTTTGATTTGGGAATTGAATTGAATTGATTAGGCTCTGTTTAATTTCTGTTAAATTAGGCTTGTGTCTAATTGAGCAAATACCTACATCAATTGAACATCTAGTTGGCCTTGGTGAATTGCATATAAATTGTTGCAAAAGTCTCATGGGTCTACCGAGTGTGATATGCAATTTGAAGTCACTTAAAATCCTCTGGGGGCTAAGTTGCTCAAAACTTGACAAACTGCCAGGGGACATGGAGTCTTTAGAGGAACTTTATTAAGACGGAAGTGCTATGAGAGAGCTGCCGCTTGTTATGAAATAGCTCAAACGTCTAAGCTTTGCTAAATCATCAACTTCAAGGGATGGCATTGGCATTGGCATTGGGTGGGGCCTTGACCGTTTATTTGGAATTAGAAAGAGTCATCCTGACCCCTGGGGTTTGGTGTTGTCTTCTCTAAATCATTTATGCTCTTTGACAAGTTTAAACCTAAGAGATTGTAATATTGGTGAAGGTGTGATCCCCGATAATATCGGTCACTTCTCTTCTTTAGAATATTTAACACTTTGTGGAAACAATTTCATTAGCCTTCCCGTGAGCATTACATTCCTTTCTAAGCTTAAGTCTCTGGACTTGAGGCGGTGCAAAAGGCTTGAGCAATTGCCAGATCTTCCGTCAACGACATTATTTGTATATGTAGACGATTGTACACACCCTCTCTTGTTTTTGTTTCGATTAATAGAATATTTGCAATGGTAAATACAATGACAATTCTTTTGCTATTCAATACAGATTCCTCTCCGTACCTTTATTGTATGGCCTGGAAGTGAAATTCCAGATTGGTTCGATAATCGAAGTGTGGGAGATTCAATAACTGTGGAGCTGCCTCTTCCTCTACCTCCACAATCATCATGTAGCAGCGACTGGGTTGGGATTGCTTTATGTATTGTTTTTGAAGATTCTGAATATTTGCAAAATCCAGCCGCCCTTGTTGGATATTTTTTTCAAAATTCAATGTTTGTGGGGTCCGTCTGAGACTTCTGAATTTGGGGATCTTAGGTCACAACACCTTTGGGTTTTTTCTTTGCATCGCAATCATCCCAGCTTCACGGATGCCTCAAGCAGTCATCTGTTTTCATTCGAAGCACATTATTGTGCATACAGATCTTCCAACACACTCAAAACAAGCTCGAATATAAAGAATGTGGGGCCCTTTTGGTGTACGAGAGAGAGATTTGAAAGAATTCAGCCGTTTTGTGTACGGTGATGAGGCAGGAAGTGATAGCTCTGATGACGAAATTGAACCAGGAAGTGATAGCTCTGATGACAACCATGAACCTGGAATTGGTAGCTCTGATGACGACAATGAACTAGGAAGTGATAGCTCTGATGACGACGATGAACCAATCAGCAAAAGATTCAAGAAAGTCTAAATCATTTTGTGCTTGGTTCAATCATTCAATGAGGTAGGAGGAGAGATGTTCTCTTATTACATTTTGGTTATGTACTTGTCAAAAAAAAAACTTTTCCATTTCCAAATACATAAATGCAGGATATGCTATGATATTGTTGGGTTGTGAATCTTCTTAATTTCAACGTGTTAGAATACAGAGCTTGAGTAACAGAATCTTTTTCAACAATGCTAGTCTTTTCATAATTTTATGTCACAATTCTAATCACCATATGTGGCGACTTAGGTGGACATGAACATCAATTGACATGGTGCCTTCAAACTGTCTGATTCGATATAATTAATGAAAAAATGTATGAAAACTGTTGATGTTAAAAAATTAAATGGCAATTAATTGTTTTAATCGTTTCATAAGTTTTTGTAAATAAGTTGTTCAATTAATGATGAGGAAAAACAAGCAATTGGTGGCATTCTCAAAGTTTTAAATTTGATTGTGTCATACTATCTCTGTTCATAGTTCTCATATTAGGTAGGAGGAGAGAGAGTAGCTCTCTTGTTGCATCTTGTTTGTATAGTTTGCAGGATATGCTGTAATTTTGTGTTCCTCTATTTAAATTGTTCTGTCAGATTTTATTGTTTTCAGAATGAAATGGACCTAGTCACCTAGTGCTATTCTATAAACAGATAACTCCGATTAATGTAGTGAAAACAGACAAGTGAGCTGTCTGTAAGCCATGAAAATGCACACTCTAAATCAACATGTTTGGTAACTGAGGAGGTATCTTGTTGTGCTTAGATGGTTTCGCTGTAGGTTCAAGTCCACATATTGATATGTTTAATACAGTTTGTTGGTCCAGTTATCCCCAAATTTGAGATTTGCTTTAACTATGGGGTCCATAACAATGAAGTTGCACAAAAATTGCTCTAAGAATATAATCTTTTGAAGTAGTTTTGTCTGAAAATAGACTAAGCCTGCATTAGCTACTTTTAAAAACAGAAAACAGTGGAACAAATCCTAAAGTATATATATGCTATAGATATACAAAACAAACTTGCGCTCTGCTTCCAGGACTTCATTTTCCCTAAATTATTTGTCCTTTTCCTGCGTTCGAGATATTTTGTGAGTGGATATGACTTGGATTAACTTGTTAATTTCAATGTGTTAGAATATTCACTTCCTATAGGCTTCGAGTAAAAGAACATTTTCAGAGCAACTTTTCAATGTTGTGCTATCAAACAGTTGCTATAGTGAAATAATGCGTGGAAATTGTTAGTATAATTCTGAGTCTTCTGACCAAAAGAAAAAATTGGGGGAAATGATTAATAATGACGAAAGAATGTGTGTGAAAAATATAGGAGAAGGATGAAAGAAGAAGAGCCAGAGAGAGGAATACTGCTTCTATAGATCTCTCTAGAGCTAAAGGTTATTTACGAGGAATATGAGATATGGACAAGTTTAGGCCTGATATTGAATCGGTCGTTTTCCTTAGAGTTTCTAGAGTAATGTTGAGGTCTTGTTATTGTGAACAAAATTTTGAGATGTAAAATAAATTTCTAGGTCGTGTTGTCGGTTTTATTGCTTAATACACAGAATAACAATAATGTAACTTGAAATGCAATGTTTTGGCTCTTGAATTGTTTAATATATATTTCAATTGAAACTCGTCCCTTCATCTTACAATACCCACTTTTTATGCAGATGAATAGGGAGAAACTTATGAAGATGGCCGGTGCGGTTTGCACTGGTGGAAAGGGTAGCATGAGGAGATGGGTGAAATTTCAGCTTGAAACTCCTTCTCTACCAAGTTGATTCACAGAGGCTGAAGTACCAAGTTTTAGCCTCAATGGTTTTGAGTTAAATATGTGTGCAGTTGATAATTGATATGTCCAGTTTCATGTCTGATATGCATTATATTGAGTACCTGATCAAGTAGTTTAGGTTGGAGGCTTCTCATGCATCCTAATTCCTTGTGGGCCAGTATACTCAGAGACAAGTATTTCCCAGATGGAGATGTGCTCAATGCTAAAAAAGGCGCCAGGGCCTCATGGGGCTGGTCAAGCATCCTGGAGGGGATTAAGGTTATTAGTAGGGGCGCTCAGTGGCAAGTGGTAAATGGTCAGAACATTAGTTTGTGGCATGATCGCTGGCGTCATCCTTCTCTGGATACCCAGCCGCTTTGTCCTCTGAATAACGAAATGTGCAAAGAAGTGCGGGTAGCAACAATTATTGACCCTGATACAAGGTCCTGGAATCTGGATTCGATCAGGCACCTTATCTCCCCAAGAGTTGAAGTTGCAATCTGTTCTACCCCGATTGGTAGTAGAGCAGGTGTGGACCGAGTTATCTGGCCTCTCAATAAGCACGGGCAGTACTCTGTCAAATCTGGCTATCATCTATCTCGTGCTCTGACAAACTCGAGGAATGTGGGTAGACCATCTGGCTCCCGCGTGGTGGAAAGAAGATATGGAAAGTGATTTGGCATGCCAAAACTCTTCCAAAAATTAGACACTTCCTGTGGCAAGCTGTGAGAAATTGTGTGGCAACAAAGGCCAACATTGCTAGCCGTCGTATCCCCTGCTCCATATGTCCTATCTGTGAGGAGAATCCTGAAACGGTTGAGCATGCCCTCCTTACGTGCCCATGGGTGGTTGGAGTTTGGTTCGGAAGCCCGTTGGGGTACATTGGGGATAGGCAACAAGTGACAAGCCTTGATTGCTGGATATTATACTTGATATCGCACCCTGGTCCATCAAAGGATGAGGTTAATCGTATGGTTACCGTGATGTCCTTCGTTATGTGGAGCATTTGGAAGGCTCGATGTAAAGCCATCTTTGAGCACAAGTCTCCTAACCCTGGCATGGTGATTCAAGATGCAAAGGATTCTTGGACTGACTTTCTTTCTTTCCTCCATTCCAAGTGGGGGAGCCATAAACAGAGACACGGAGGGGGATTCTGAAGTTGTGAGAAGCACAATATGGCAAGCCCCCCTCGTCCCTTTTTTGAAACTAAATGTTGATGCTGCATGGTCCAGTTCCTCTGGGAAAACTGGCATTGGAATAATTATCAGGGATCATCATGGGGAGTTCAAAAGTGGTAAAATATGCAGGACATCGTCCATTTCTGCTGTGGATGCTGAAGCTCAGGCTGTTATTGAGGGTCTCTCCTTTGCTGCTAGCCAAGGCTATCCCCACATGTGTTGAATTTGATTCAAAACCCCTCATCAACTGCTGTTTGGGGAAAATCGCCAAGGGAGCTTGGGAACTATACCCTTCCTTGGGGAGTATCCAGGAGCTGAAGTCGAAGTTTGCTAGTGTTCGCTGGGAGTGGGTCCCTAGAGAAGCCAATGCTGTGGCTGATGCAGCGGCAGCGATTGCAACCCGAGGGATGGGTACGGAAGTTTGGGCCGATCGACCTCCATCCTCTCTAGTTCATGTTCTTTCCCGGGATGGGCTCCCCTGCCCCCCGTAATTGGCCTCATCTGATGTTTGGATCCTGACCATATTGACGCCTGTTGCTTCTGCGATGTGTCTGAAGAAGCTTTGTTTTCTTGCTATGGCTATGATCTAACTCTGCTTTTGTGGCTCTCTCTTGGGCGTTGTTTAGCTAGCCGTTTTTCAGTTTTGGTTTTTTAGCCTTTTCTTTTCTGGCTCTGTTTTTGTTTCTATGTTTTTGCTGCTCTGTCTGTTTAGGTTCCTTTCTTTCTGGCGGGTGCCTAATGGAATTATTCAGTTACCAAAAAAAAAAAAATCAAGTGGTTTACTTCATAAAATTATTGACTTGCAATTTGAGTTCCTTATGTGAAGTAGTTAGCCTGATGGCATGTTGAGTGGATTGTTGTCTCTTGTTGTTTTACCATGTTTATTTGATCTTATTCTTGTAATTTTTTTTAATGAGAAATACCTGAACTTTTAGAGTTAACTGCTCTTCCCAGGGGGAACAGAAAGTTTTATCTTTTATTAATTTGTATAACATGCAATCTTTATGTGGCGAACTGCGAACTTAAGTAAATAATCATTTATTGTATTCAGCATTTGGTGCATTAGCTAGTTTAAAGTTCCCCGTTAAACCAGATGATTCCCTAGCTTAAAGAGCCCATAACAGAAAGGTTGTCTCCAATAGACTTAGTGTAATTGTTTTTCCAGTAGAGAGCTTACTCTGGAGGAGTGTGATGGGTTCTTCTGCTCTTCTGTATTCGATATTATCTAATGGTGCGTTCTTCTTCTCTTTAGATAGGATTGTTAAACAATTGAGTAGGCAAAAAATAAGAAAGTAATTCAAGTAGTTAAAACTGAGAATTGTTGGAGTTTACCTCAAATATGCCATCTAGTGCTCTCTACTTCGGAGAAAATGCTATTTCTGATGTACACAGCATTGTCGGGGAATGGTCATTTGGACTTAGACTGCCCTTGAAGTCATTTTATGACTAGTTTTCAGTCATAAGTCTTGCACATTCCTGCAATTGTTTGTAATTAGCGCATGTTTGTTGTGTGATCATCCTGTTTGTACGTGATTTTGTTTATTAATTTCTGTTCCCAGCTTCAGAAAGGAGAAGGATGTTCACAAGACAACTACCACAGACGACAAAAGGCTTCAGAGCACCATTAAGAGAATAGGGGGTGAACGCTATTCCTTCGATCAAGTTAACGTATTTATGGATGATGTTGTCATCTAGTCCATAAACCCCAGAGGTGAAGCCGACATGCTAGAACTCTGATCCTGTAAATTATTATTTTGATTCACCTTTTCTAATAGTTGATGATTTTCCTTGTACATTTTTGGTGACCATAATAGCGGCATGCAGGCCTAATTTAACACCGTTTCACGGGTGACCCTCAATAACATAGCCGTCTTATCTGAACTTGGCTTTCTGTTTTGTCGAGAGAGTGACTTGCTTGTGATTGCAGGAGCATCGACTTAGAGCTAAGAGTTAAGCGCTTAAATCAATTTAAAGCCGTTTGGTTGCTAAACGCAAAAAAAAATTTATCAAAAAGATTTTTTCATTACTACTACATAAAGCACTAGATTACATAAACAACCACATATGCGTTTAATAGAGCTTTTTCAGTTCAAACAAAGAGCATGCCACAATTTGTTCTCTATCTTTTAAATTTGAAGTGATGGTTTAACTTGTTAACCGTTTTGGTGTCTTCCATATTTTAAATGTTAGTAGTAATTTAGAAAAATGGATCGAATATTGGTATTGTGTTCTTCTTTAGTGTATTTACGTAATGATTTTATTCCGAGGTTTGGATGTCAATATGTGCCTTGAATTGGAAATTTGTTTTCAATGTTGTATTATCTGGTAAGAGAACGCACATATATACATGTTTCGTTGTGTTTGTGCCTGGACTTTCTGCTGCGCATTGAGCCTTTTATTTGGCCTTCTTTAGATTTTGGTCATATTGGTTTAGAACTTGACATATGATCTTCTCTGTTGTAGAGTTGCAAGATATTCTTTCCAGTATATTATCAGCCACTTGGGTAAGTGTGCATGTGATCCTTATATTTTGTTCTTGTTTTTGTCCTCAAAGTTAAAAGAGGAGTTGGAGAGAATTCCTCATGACACCTTTAATTATTTTCAGGGCCAGATAACTTGGACAATTTGATGAAACTGGCAGAGCAGTTCCAGAAGCAAGCGCCTGGTACTGGTGCTGCTGGTGGAACCACTCCACAAGAGGATGATGATGACGAGGTCCCTGAGCTTGTTGCCAGTGAGACCTTTGAAGCTGCTGAGGAGGAGAAGCAAGCTTCGTAGAGTGTTTCAAGGGGATTTTGTGTCATTTTATACTTGGTTAATTTTATCTTTTTGGTTAAAATCTAGTTTTACTATTTGCTAATGCTTGATCGATTATTGTGTTTAAAGATTATTTTCCTGTTTTTAGATGATTGTTATAAACGCATCAAGTAACGAAACCCGTTTAAGCCTTCTGATTCTGGAGTTGTGGCAACGAAACCCTTCCACAAACGTACTTTTATTTCACTCTACTTTCCTCATCAAGCTGAGCAATTCCTTTCCAATATTATATATAGTGTGAAATTTAGACTCTTTCCTTAATTTACAGATTATCTTTGATTATCTTTTTACTTGAACAATGTCATAAAAGAACTTTCCTAGCTAGCTAGTTGACCGTGGAAAACTTCAAAAGTAAAACCACTTAAACTTGCCCACTTATCATTTCTAGAACATCCATATATTTTTGCGTCAAGAGTCAAAAAAATTAATTATCCATCGAAGCAGCAATGCTTTGGAGTGGTTAAGAGCAATTAATTAAGGAAAATATTAGTCCACAAAACATTATTATATTAATCAGATTCAAACAAGTAGTAATTATTGAAATAAAAAGTTGGATTTAGGTTGGTGGCCTCAACATGCTGGATCAATAGAATTCCAGGTTGCACATTAGCTTTTCTTAACCTAATACACGGATATAAACATACATACGTGCAATGCAAGTTATATATTTATATGTACAGAAAGGATAATGTTTCTTACTCACGATAGGTGAGAAGGAATCTACCTTTTTGTTAATGTGATATATACTTATTTACAGGAAATAATGAAAGTAATAGGATCATAAGAATTAAACTGATAACAGCAAGGGCGGCAAGAAGCTTGATCCCACAAGCTATATATAATCTTCATGAGGCCCTGTTAGATAAAATCAAGATCCTCAATCAATACAACCCAAAATAGAGAAAGCAAACTTAGCTAACCTACGAGCGAGGCTTCTGAACATATAAAGGAAAGGAGCACTTTGAGTTCATGAGTAACAGATATTAATCACATGAGTTAGAAGCTCTTGTTGCAATATAAAAGTGCTCTTTAAGTAGATAGTCATATCACATCAGCATGATGTCGTGGTATGATCGTCCTATAAAAATCTCTTTGTAATAATTTTTTCTTCCTTTTTAATCAAAAGAAATTTAAGTGAGAAACTCCATTATAAAAAAAAAAAAAAAATATAAATAAAAAAACAACAACAACCACCTTAGGAACAAAACATATATTAACAATTGAGCTAGAAGCCTTTTTACAATATATGGCAATAATTCTATTTCTCTTAATTGCAATAATTTCTGAGTTTGGGATGAGTTTTTGGGTTGAATATGATTTAGAATAATTATTTAAATATTTTTACAATTAGATTTGATTTTGGACCTTTGGACCTGTATTTTTAGCATTGAAAACAGTTAGAAAAAATGTTGGCCGTTGGTTGAAGGATCGACGGTATAAGCTAATTCGGTTTAATTAAGGCATTAATTAATGAAACCTTCATACGTGATATTTGGAGGAAAAAACCCAAAAATGACCAAATGACCAATTTCTTAATTTAATTAGGGAGCTTATTTTTCCATTCCTCTTTTCTTCACTTACACTCTCTTTCGCTTTTTCATACTTACACTCTCTGTAAGCTTTTTTTTTTTTCTTTTCTTTACCAAGTATGTGAGTACTATTTATCCTTGTTGTAGTTAATAGATAATAAATTTTTTGACATGTTTACAGTAGAAGAACCAAAGAATGCTACTAACCAAACTGTCATTAGGAGCTTAGATATGCAAAAAGCAAGGTATGCATAATAGTTTCAGATTTTTATTCTTTGATAATATTAGTAAGTGATTGTACATGTCTTCTTATTAAATAATACAAGAAAATGAACTTGGTGGGTGATAACAAATTGCTTAGACCAATAAGAAACAAAAAGAAGAAGAAAGTCCGGCCTATGCTGTCCGTTGGTGGTGGTAATATAAGGCTGGTGGCGTCTAGAATTTGTGTTAGTTTCCTTGCAAAAAAGAACAAACGCTTGAGTATTTTATTATTTGATGATGTAAGCTATTATGAAGGCCAGTTTCTAGGTGTCAGTATGATTTAAGGTTGCAGAATGACTACAGAAGTAGTGAAATGGCTTGTATATATGTGCTTGCGCGCGTCATTCTAGCCGACATCGGCCACGAATGAGCTGTCAAAATAAGTGTAATAGTCTTGCTTTTATCAACGGAATTGTTATCATTCAATTATCATTATTTGTGTATGGAGTTAGAACCCCCTACAGAATTGCTTTCAGTGGATCCTTTTTTTCTTGTTTAGCAGGAGTCCAACAATGGTTAACTTTATTTTCAAAGTGTTGACAGGATATTACTTAGTAATACCGCATATCCCTTTTTTTCTAATTGCAAAACCAAAGAGGACAACGTGAGAATATTGATAAACTATATTATGACTGAACAACTATTAAATTGGATATAGCTGTAACTCCAAAAGCGGGAGTGATTTTCGATTGTGAGGGTCAACGATATGGCTTTGCTTTTATCAACGGAATTGTTATCATTTAATTGTCATTATTTGTGTATGGAGTTAGAATTGCTTTCAGTGGATCCTTAGTTTCTTGTTTAGCAGGAGTCCAACAATGGTTAACTTTATTTTCAAAGTGTTGACAGGATATTACTTAGTAATACCGCATATCCCTTTTTTTTCTAATTGCAAAACCAAAGAGGACAACGTGAGAATATTGATCGATAAACTATATTATGATTGAACAACTTTTAAATTGGATATAGCTGTAACTCCAAAAGCGAGAGTGGCTTTTGATTGTGAGGGAGAGTGAGAGTTTTAGCTTAGAGAGAGAGAGAGAGATCGGCTATTAAATTTGAAATTCTCTTTCAGTGATGTAACTCCAAAAAAGAGTGGTTTTTTTTATTGTGAAGGAGAGTAGTGGCAAATTCAGAATTTGAAAGCCGGTTGGACGGAATTTACCTAATAAACTCAACTGTAGAAGTGAATTTGACATAAAAAAAAATACACATGAGATTGTTGTTGGATTAGTAAATCGAAACCAAAGATGAAAAAATCCAGCTGAAAGTCGTAATCATGCATGCACAAAGAGTAACTATATAAATAAAGGAAACTTATTAATAGCACGAACAGAAGCATCCTCTTCTATATAATGATGACCAAAAAAGGCATGAAGCTAGAATATATAATGTGGCTGGCTGGCTGGGCGGCGTAGAGGTGTTTTTTTTTTTTTTTGGTTCTTGGCTGCCACTGGGAGAGGGAGGGTTTTAGCTTAATGGAAAGAGGGAAAGAGAGACCTCAACATCACGCAAGCATGGAGCAAGAAATGTTGGATTTAGAGATTCAAACTGCTACTGAAGCTCCAGCTATCTTCAAGGAAGCCATTCGACCTGTCACGTTGAAGGTATATATAGTAGAGAAATGGTGTCTTCTCTCACTTTTTTTCTTATACTAAATCACATTTACGCAGTTTGAAGACGTGGTTTACAAGATCAAACAGAAGAATAGTACCAAGAACGAAGAGAAAGTGATCTTAAACAGTGTCTCGGGCCTTGTTCAACCGGGGGAAATCCTCGCCATGCTCGGCCCCTCCGGGAGCGGCAAAACGACTCTCCTAACCGTGCTCGGAGGCCGGCTAAGCGGTAGACTCAGCGGTGCCATAACCTACAACAACAAACCATTCTCAAACGCAATGAAAAGAAACACTGGCTTTGTAACCCAAGACGACTTTCTCTACCCCCACTTGACGGTCACCGAACCCTATTCTACACAGCCCTTCTTCGCTTGCCCAACTCGCTATCGAAAGCCAAGAAGGCTATGCAAGCTGAGGCCGTGATTATACAACTGGAGTTAACCAAGTGCAAGAACAGCGTTGTTGGGGGTGAGTTCTTGAGGGGTGTTTCGGGTGGGGAGAGAAGAAGGGTTAGCATAGGCCAAGAATTACTCGTAAACCCTAGCTTGCTCTTCTTGGATGAGCCCACGTCGGGACTTGATTCGACGACGGCGCAGCAGATTGTGTCGGCATTGTGGGATTTGGCAGGTGGAGGAAGAACAATTGTGATGGCCATACATCAACCTTCAAGTAGGATTTTCTACATGTTTCATAAGGTGGTGTTGTTATCGGAAGGGAATTGTTTGTATTTCGGAAAAGTATTGGAGGTCATGGACTATTTTTTGGGCATTGGCTATGTCCCATTGGTAGCTATGAATCCTGCGGATTTTCTGTTGGACCTTGCCAATGGTATGTTTCTTTTTTAATAATTCGTAGCTTCATTTTTTATTTCAGCTGTCAAAATCCTGAGATTTATGCAAGCATGGGTTATGGGTCGTGGGTTCAGTAATTGCATGTAACTTAGGCCCATCTCTTCGTTCAATGACTTCCTTGACTTTGGGCCATAGTTAATTACCGTTCGAACTCCCAAAATGAGTTTGAATAAATTTCTAGGAAATCCAATTTTGGACCACTAAGAGTTTACTATTTTGTTTTTAGTATATGCGATTGTCTAAATTAAAAGGAATGCGGGTTTCACTCACACACACAACTAAGATGTCATGGGAGTTCAAACCTGAGACCTATGCTCTGCAAGTCAATGACCTTTTCCACTAGGCTAGAACCTTAGAATTTATTCTTATGTTTGGGGATTAGAAACCCCAAAATTGTCTTGGAAATGTTTGTAGCATTGTTAGATATGCTTGGGGAATTTATTCTTATTCAAAAATCATAAAAAATGCATTAATTATCATCCATATTGTAATTTTGTGTGATTTTTTTGGCTATAGTTTTACTTTTTAATTATTCTTTTGTGCCATGTTTGCTATATATAGGATTTTAGTGTGAAGTGTATATTAGATGTTAGTTTTACTTTTTCATTACCCTACAAATGTGTCATGATGCATGCAAGTGTGTCTACAAGTGTATAATAATATGTTTGTGAAATTGTTTGTGTGAGTAATTTTTGTTGCATTTTATATGTAGTGTAGGTCTGGCACCTGATGGCACGCATGAAAACAAGAGCAAGGTGAAGCAGAGCCTAGCCTTGGCCTATAAGCACAACCGTTTATATAATTTGAAAGCTCAACTTCAAGAAACCAACTCCAGCCATTTTCAAGATGGATCAGAAGACAAGAACTTTGCGAAATGGCCCACTACTTGGTGGCAGCAATTCTATGTATTGCTTAGGAGAGGACTGAAAGAGAGGAGGCACGAGTCCTTCTCTGGTAGCCAGATTAACCAGGTTGTGGCGGTGGCTCTTCTTGCTGGGCTACTATGGTGGCAATCAAATATTTCCCACTTGCAGGATCGGGTAACACACACTTCCTTCCTCTCCCTTTTTCTAGCATTTGCAATATGCATTTTCTTTTTTTTTCTTTTTTGTTACATGGGGAATTTCAATATGCATTTTCATGGGACAGATTCAATCAAAAGTCTAATATAATTAGTGCTAATATCATTAGACTAGTATTAAAAGGGACATATTATCAATTATTATGACTAATGACTGATTGATACTTCACTTGTCACATATATGATCAGGTTTATTAATCTGGTAAAAAACAATGATTCATACCGTTCAGAGGGTATGAAAATGATTTGTTTCCTTTTTCTGGGTTTGGCACAATAGTTGAAGATATAGGCTATTGGGTTTATGCCATGCATGACATCCTAGCTCCTCAAACATAACCCATTTTAACAACTCTGAGAATCTTTTTCGGTTATGTATGCAGACTGGGCTTCTCTTCTTTATGTCTGAATTTTGGGGGTTTTTCCCTCTGCTCCAAGCAATTTTCACCTTCCCTCAAGAGCGCAAGATGCTTGAAAAGGAAAGATCATCAGGCACATTCATGCTCTCCTCATATTTCATATCAAGGATTGTTGCTGATCTCCCTATGGAGCTTGCCCTTCCAACCCTATTTGTCACCATAACATATTGGATGGCAGGGCTCAAACCCACAGCAGGACACTTTTTCCACACCTTGCTTGTTCTGCTACTCAGTGTGTTAGTGGCTCAAGGCATGGGGCTTGCTCTTGGGGCTCTAGTAATGGACCAAAAGAAGGCCGCAGTACTTGCATCAGTCCTCATGGTGTCATTTCAGCTAGCTGGAGGTTTCTTTGTTCAACATGTTTCTGCTTTCATTGCTTGGATCAAATACATCTCCATCATTAACTACTCATACAAGCTCTTGCTGGGGTCTCAATACGATGAAAATGACACTTACCCATGTGATAGTGGGCTTTGCTTGGTTAGAGATTTCCCAAGTATAAAACATGTTGGGCTTAGTGGACAAATAGGTGCAGCGGTTGCTTTGGCCATAATGCTTGTGGGTTGTAGGCTAATTGCTTATTTAGCTCTCATGAGGACTGGGTTGTAGGCTAATTGGTTTTTCCTTCCTAGAGAGTTAAACTGAGTGGTTAAAGGCATTTGCTCTGGTTAAAGGAAATTTATAACAAAATTTGTATGTAGTTTAGGCGTAAGCAGAAGCTTAGAAATTAGATTAGTTTGCTACTTCAATTCTCGACAGTAAACTTGATGTATTAAAATGAGGAAGGAAACTTTGGTAAGTTAAAGTTTGGTAAGTGGAGATATGGAATCCATTGATCGATCTTTTACAATTAGAGCTGATGTTGGATTTTGCAGCAGCCATTAAGATTTCATGTCTGCTATTGTTTAATGTACACATAAAATCAGGAAAGGAAAGGAGAGGTGGTTAGTTCATGAGGGAAGAGAGAATAACAGAGAAGGAGAGGCAAAAGAAACTCTGAGTATTTTACTTTATATGCAGACAGTGACAACATGAAGCTAAAAGAATTGCAAAGGCATAATTGGATGCAAGAGAAGCTGCTGTTGATACTTGAATCTTCTGATGAAGAGCACATGAAACAGTCCCCTTCTGTCAACAATGTCTTGAATCTCTATCTATCAACAATGTGAATTGAAGAGTGTTGTATTTTCTAATCAGCACAAATTAATGTGCAAACAACCAATTAAAAATACCCGCAAGTGCACGAATCTATTGAGGTATAGATTATGTAAGTACGGAGTCGATCCCACGAAGAACTGTCGGCTTCCTACAAGTTCTAATTTGAGTATGTAAAGAACGCTTATTTAACACAACACAAAATGGAAACAAAAAATGAGTAAAGAAATGTAAAAGAAAAGAAACAAAACAAGAAATCAAAGAAAAACACAAACAGCACTTTATATCTGGAAACTAAAAATGAGTAAAGAAAGGTAAAAGAAAAGAAACAAAACAAGAAACCAAAGAAAAACACAAACAGTACTTTCTATCACCCTTTTATCACAATTTGGACAGATTCGTTTCTCTGTTTTTCAGCTTCGACCTGTGTTTAGTGTTTGGCCTATAACTTTCCAAACATTTGTCCAAATTTCACGTTCTTTATATGGTTGGATTCAGCACACAAAAACGAAGAATTTATCGCGCATCAAAATCCAAAACCAAGTACAAAAACAGATAAAAAGCAATGACAAAAACACACCATGTTTCAAACAATGTAAATTTAAACACACAAATACAATTTGGGGGGTGGGGGGGTTTGGTTTGGTTCAAGTGACCTAATTCTAATGCATGAAAGTAAATGAACCTTAAATTTAAACAAGAATGACAGAGATGCAAATCAAAGTGTGAAATTAAAATGTAACAAACACTAGGGTTTCGGAATCCACCCTAAACAATTCTACCCATGTTCATGGACACTCAAGTAATAAACTCTAAATGTGTTGATGAAGATGTTCGCAATCAAGACCGGTACTAGTGGCTCAAGACGCATTGATTCTCTATAATATACGTAAAGTGCAGGGCTAGTGCTACAAT